TGCAGAGTGAGAAGAGCATCCTGGATGAACCAGACTCTCCTCTAGAGGTTAGTTAAATCATGTAAATTGTTTTCTGTGTTATGTCCTGTCATATTCGTTCGAAAGAAACTAAAAAGCACAGTGTCACGTTCAGTATCATGGGCAGGGTCTATTTTTGCATCACTTGACAACGTTGTCACATTTGCATCAATGTTTATAATTCAAAGAAATTAAAATAAATTCCATTTTCATCACGCAAATTATGTTTTTTTCTTTTTTAAATTTGTGTGTGGCTTGGATTTCGTTCCACTGTGTGCCAAATAGGACTGATAGCTCACTACTCTCTTGCAACGTTGCTGATGTACTTGAACATAGGGGATGACGTCTAAAGTATGTCAGTAGACATTCATTTTCTGTCGTAAGTGAAAATTGCTTGTTTCAATGTTTCTTTTAACATCATGCTACTAATAATCTAGTTACCCTCTCGTAACACCTATTCAGCCTACAGTATTTGTCAAACTCCAGGTGTTTTCTCCAACAGCTTTTAGGCAAATCCTGATTTTTGCTCATTTGTTTGACTTTGCATTACAATGCACTGTGTATTTCCATTTCTTTGAAATAAATACATAAGAAAACATTTTTTCTCAGATCAGGGGCAATTTTTTTCAAGGTAGTGATCTGGGTGGAATTGTTTTGCTTTTTGGAATAATTTATTGGAATGTTTTGTGGACATACTTTTAAATTACTTACATTTGTCCAGTCTTTTCGACCACAGTATTTATAGATCTAATTATTATTTTGCATTGTGTTACTGGTTCTGGACTCTAAGCGACGCTGTTGGTCAATCCAACATATTTTATAACACATTACAACACAGTCCCCTCCCTTATCACCGTGGCCTAAGAGAGGAAAGGAGATTGTGTGCATTATATGGGCGGACATTCAACGACAACAGATATCTCCATTCGGATTTATGCAGTAATTTGAAAAGACGAAATCCTTTGTCTTTGTTGGTACATTGGCTGTATTTTTCAGGATAAGTGTCGTTATTGGATCGTTTTTCTTTTTTTCTATGGCGTGTGGAATTAGACACGACACCGTGCGCATAAAATGGCGTTTTGGTTGCGGACAGAATTGGCAGATTCTGTTCCTCTTTTTCTCTCTCACTCATTTGGTCACCGGACATATCCGATATTCTAT